GGCAAAGGATCTTGTAAAACCCTAGAATCTACGACATAAGTAGATAAAATGGAATAAAATAAATAAAAGATAAATACAAATTAAAATAAACATAAATAATAAATAAATACAAATAAAATAAATAGAAATAATAAATAAATAGAAATAATAAATAAATACAAATAAAATAAATAGAAATAATAAATAGATAGAAATAATAAATAAATACCAATAAAATAAATATAAATAATAAATAAATAGAAATAATAAATAAATATAAAATAAATAGAAATAATAAATAAATAGAAATAATAAATAAATAGAAATAATAAATAAATAGAAATAAAATAAAACAAACATAAATGATAAATACATACATACAAATAAAATAAATATAAATAATAAATAATAAAGAAATAAAAATAAAATAAATAATAAATAAATACAAATAAAATAAATATAAATGATAAATAAATACAAATAAAATAAATAAAAAATAAATACAAATAAAATAAATATAAATAATAAATAAATACAATACAAATAAAATAAATATAAATAATAAATAAATACAATTAAAATAAAATAAACATAAATAATAAATAAATACAAATACAAATAAACATAATTAATAAATAAATACAAATAAAATAAATATAAATAATAAATAAATTAATACAAATAAAATACCATGCGGTCACCAAGAAGCAACCCAAAAGCACGTAAGGCACACAGGGATGGGAGATCAATATGAGCAAAGCCACCTAAGAAAACACTAAGAAATTGCCATACATTGACTTGAAAATCCAGTTCTTTTCTTCTTCTTGCAATATGGTGAGATAAAGGGAAGTCCAGAAGGCAACAGTCGCTTTGCTTAGTTGCCACACCCAAAAGCACTGCAGACAACAAGGCTCCTTTCCCCATTGAATCCTATGCACCTTTGCACATTATTATTATTATTATTATTATTATTATTATTATTATTATTATTTTGCTACCATAAGACAACTCAGGAGGGGGCTTTTGGTCTTTTTCTTTGCAACCCACCCACCCCATTAGTCCAGGGAATATTTTGGTTTTTTTTTAATCACAATTAAATTTACATATTTTCATTATTTTTCACTATTCTATCACAAATCATGAATTGCAAAACCTCATAGCACATTTTGCAAGAGTTTTCCAAGAGAGATCTCATTAAGTTTCTGACAGGATCACACAAACACACGCATGTACACACACATACAAATTGAGAACACAAAACATGAATTGCAAAAACTCATAGCACATTTTGCAAGAGTTTTCCAAGACAGATCTCATTAAGTTTCTGACAGGATCACACAAACACACACATGTACACACACATACAAATTGAGAACACAAAACATGAATTGAAAAAACTCATAGCACATTTTGCAAGAGTTTTCCAAGACAGATCTCATTAAATTTCTGACAGGATCACACAAACACGCACATGTACACACACATACAAATTGAGAACACAAAACATGAATTGCAAAAACTCATAGCACATTTTGCAAGAGTTTTCCAAGACAGATCTCATTAAGTTTCTGACAGGATCACACAAACACACACATGTACACACACATACAAATCGAAGGCAACCCCAATAGGGAATCCCTATATTAATCCTGAGAAGTTACCCAGGCCCCCATCTACACTAGCCATATAAAATCCAGATTGACCTGAACCGGATTATATGAGTCCACACTGCCATATAATCTAGTTCAAAGCAAATAATCCGGATTTTATTTAGAGGTGAAGAAAATGTTGGAGGGAATCTACACTAACCATATAAAATCCAGATTGATCTGCACCGGATCATATGAGTCCACACTGCCACATAATCCGGTTCAAAGCAAATAATCCGGATTTTATTTAGAGGTGAAGAAAATGTTGGAGGGAAGTCTCCCTAAAAGTTATGAAAAGGGTGGGTCTATCCATCTATTTATCTGTTTTGAGTTTCTAATCCGGAGTCACTCCGGATTCAGGCCCACTTTAATCCGGAGTGACTCCGGATTCAGCTCCTCTCTCGCTCTGCTTTTTTTTTTTTTGAATGCAAACTGGGTTTAAAAAAATAAATCAAAATCAAAGAGGGGGGCTGAATCAGGTGTGACTCCGGATTGAAGGAGGGCTGGATCCGGAGTGACTCCGGATTGAAGAAGGGCTGAATCCGGAGTGACTCCGGATTAGAAACTCAAAACGCCCCAAGCGGTGCAGATAGATGAGACACACCCTTTTCCTCCCATATAACTTTTAGATAGACTCCCCACCTTTTTTTTTCTACATTTCCATATACAATCCGGATTAAATTTGATTTCAGGCCCACTTTAATCCGGAGTGACTCTGGATTCAGCTCCTCTCTCTGTTTTTTTTTTTATTTGAATGCAAACTGGGTTTAAAAAATAAACTAAAGAGGGAGGGCTGGATCCGGTGTGACTTCGGATTGAAGAAGGGCTGAATCCGGAGTGACACCGGATTAGAAACTCAAAACGCCCCAAGCGGTGCAGATAGATGAGACACACCCTTTTCCTCCCATATAACTTTTAGATAGACTCCCCACCTTTCCCCCCCCCCCCCACATTTCCATATACAATCCGGATTAAATTTGCGCTGAACCGGATTATGTGGCTGTGTGGACTCATATAATCCGGTTCAGGGCCAACTGTCTTTTGTATGGCAGTGTAGATGGGGCCTAGGTAACTTCTCCAAGAATTAGTCAGGGTTAATATCGGGATTACCTTAATCCGGTTCAGATCTGAAGTGACTCTGGATTCAGGGCTGGAAATCTCCACAAAAGAATGGAATGCAGACTGTTTAATTAGCAATAACACTAATAACAATATCAACAATAATAATACATGAAAGAGCCTTTGGGTTTGGAGAGAGGGGCTGAATCGGGAGTGACTCCGGATTAGAAACTCAAAACGCCCCAAGCGGTGCAGATAGATGAGACACACCCTTTTCCTCCCATACAACTTTTAGGTAGACTCCCCACCTTTTTTTTCTACACTTCCACATTCAATCCGGATTAAATTTGTGTTGAACCGGATTATATGGCTGTATGGACTCATATAATCCGGTTCAGGACAAACTGTCTTTTGTATGGCAGTGTAGTTGGGGTCTAGGTAACTTCCCCAAGAACTGGCCAGGATTAATGCTGGGATTCCCTAACGGGTTTCCCTTCAATGTGTAGGCGTGTGTGTGCCGTGTAGACTCATTTAATCCAGTTCAGGGCAATTTCTCTTTTGTATGGCAGTGTAGATAGGGCCTAGGTAACTTTCCTAAGGATCCCCAATCAGGATTAACATTGGGATTCCCTACAATGTGTAGGTGTGTGCGTGCAGTGTAGACTCATATAATCCGGTTTAGGCCAATCCGTCTTTTATATGCCAGTGTAGATGGGGCCTAGGTAACTTCCCCAAGAACTGCTCAGGATTAATATAGGGATTCCCTTCAATGTGTACAGTGTAGACTCATATAATCCGGTTTAAGGCAATCTCTCTTTTTATATGGCAGTGTAGATGGGCCCAATATTAATCCTAGGTCAGGGTAAATATTGGGATTCCCTATTGAGTTCCCTTCAATTTGTATATCTGCAGTATAGACTCCTATAATCCGGTTCCAATTGAGAGTGACTCCAGATTCAGGGTTTGAAATCTCCCCAAACGATGATATAATGAAAGAGCCTTTGGGTTGGGAGAGAGGGGCTGAATCAGGAGTGACTCCGGATTGAGGAGCGTGTAGACGCAATCCGGTCCCAATTCGGAGTGACTCCGGATTCAAGGTTGGAAATCACCCCCAAACGAATGGAATGCAGGTTGTTTACATAACAATTAACACTAATAATAATAATAATAATAATAATAATAATAATAATAATAATAATAATAATAATACAGGAAAGAGCCTTTGGGTTGGGAGAGAGGGGCTGAATCGGGAGTGACTCCGGATTAAGGAGCGTGTAGACGCAATCCGGTCCCAATTCGGAGTGACTCCGGATTCAAGGTTGGAAATCACCCCCAAACGACTGTAATGCAGGCTTTTTAAAGAGCAATTAAAAATAATAATACATGAAAGAGCCTTTGGGTTTGGAGAAAGGGGCTGAATCGGGAGTGACTCCGGATTAAGGAGAGTGTAGAGGCAAGCCCCGCCCTGAGGAGAGTCGGGAGGGAGAAGGGGAAGGGGTGCTGCTCACGGGTGCGACTTCTTGCGGGGAAGCAGAGGGAGGGCTGGGGGGTCCTGAATCCGGAGTGACTCCGGATTAAGGAGCGTGTAGACGCAATCCGGTCCCAATTCGGAGTGACTCCGGATTCAAGGTTGGAAATCTCCCCAAACGACGATACAGGAAAGAGACTTTGGGTTTGGAGAGAGGGGCTGAATCGGGAGTGACTCCGGATTAAGGAGCGTGTAGACGCAATCCGGTCCCAATTCGGAGTGACTCCGGATTCAAGGTTGGAAATCTCCCCAAACGACGATACAGGAAAGAGACTTTGGGTTTGGAGAGAGGGGCTGAATCGGGAGTGACTCCGGATTAAGGAGCGTGTAGACGCAATCCGGTCCCAATTCGGAGTGACTCCGGATTCAAGGTTGGAAATCTCCCCAAACGACGATACAGGAAAGAGACTTTGGGTTTGGAGAGAGGGGCTGAATCGGGAGTGACTCCGGATTAAGGAGCGTGTAGACGCAATCCGGTCCCAATTCGGAGTGACTCCGGATTCAAGGTTGGAAATCTCCCCAAACGACTGTAATGCAGGCTGTTTAAAGAGCAATTAAAAATCTTAATAATAATAATACATGAAAGAGCCTTTGGGTTTGGAGAGAGGGGCTGAATCGGGAGTGACTCCGGATTAAGGAGAGTGTAGAGGCAAGCCCCGCCCTGGGAGTCGGGAGGGAGAAGGGGAAGGGGGTGCGAGTTCTTGCGGGGAAGCAAAAGGAGGGCTGGGGGGTCCTGAATCCGGAGTGACTCCGGATTAGGGGCGAAGGGGGGACCACTCACTCACCCAGCCGGAGGAGCAGCACCAGCAGCAGAAGCGGATCCGAGAGAGAGAGCGAAGGGGAGCCGGGCCAGGGCGGGGTTTTTCAACGGGACTCGCCTGGAGCCAAGCCCTCCCTCTCTGACTCATCCTCGGCCTGGGCAAGGCCCTCCCTCCCCTGCCTACAAGGGGAAAGGGGCCCTGCGAGGACATCCAAACCGACCCCGAAAATATGAAGGATGAAAATGAACAAAACCTGACTACCAGTATTAAAAAAAACTCTAAAATTACAACAGAGAGGAAACAAACAAGGACATCTAATCACCTCTCAACAAAAGATTGCTCCAGGCACTGCCAGGCCATCAAATGCTAATCAAGGTGGTCAGTTGAAACATTCACACCTAGCTCCAGCAGACAAGAGTCCTTTGTCCCACCCTGGTCATTCCACAGATATATAAACCCTTTTTCCTAGTTCCAACAGACCTCACTACCTCTGAGGATGCTTGCCATAGATTCCCCCAGGCACTGCCAGGCCATCAAATGCTAATTAAGGTGGTCAGTTGAAACATTCACAACTAGCTCCAGCAGACAAGAGTCCTTTGCCCCACCCCAGTCATTCCACAGATATATAAACCCTTTTTTCTAGTTCCAACAGACCTCACTACCTCTGAGGATGCTTGCCATAGATGCAAGCGAAACGTCAGGAGAGAATGCCTCTAGAACATGGCCCTATAGCCCGAAAAAACCTACATTAATTAAGGTGGTTAGTTGAAACATTCACACCTAGCGCCAGCAGACAAGAGTCCTTTGTCCCACCCTGGTCATTCCACAGATATAAACCCCTTTTTCCTAGTTCCAACAGACCTCACTACCTCTGAGGATGCTTGCCATAGATGCAGGCGAAACGTCAGGAGAAATGCCTCTAGAACATGGCCATTTAGCCCGAAAAAACCCACAAGAACTGAGTGATTCCAGCCATGAAAGCAACAAACAAGGACATCTAATCACCTCTGAACAAAAGATTTCTCCAGGCACTGTCAGGCCATTATATGCTAATCAAAGTGATCAGTTGAAACATTCACACCTAGCTCCAGCAGACAAGAGTCCTTTGCCCACCCTGGTCATTCCACAGGTATATAAACCCTTTTTCCTAGTTCCAACAGACCTTAATACCTCTGAGGATGCTTGCCATAGATGCAGGCGAAACGTCAGGAGAGAATGCCTCCAGAACATGGCCATATAGCCCGAAAAAACCTACAACAACCCAATCAAGGACAGCTAACACCTCTCAACAAAGACTGCTCCAGGCACTGCCAGGCCATCAAATGCCAATCAAGGTGGTCAGTTGAAACCTTCACACCTAGCTCCAGCAGGCAAGAGTCCTTTGCCCCACCCTGGTCCTTCCACAGATATATAAACCCATTTTCCTAGTTTCCTAGTTCCAGCAGACCTTGCCATAGATGCAGGCGGAACGTCAGGAGAGAATGCCCCTCTAGAACATGGCCATGTAACTCTGGGGAATCCTGCAATGAATGGGGCCGGACTTGATTACATCTACGGGACCCTGCAAATGAATGGGGCTGGGTTAGATGACCTCTGGGGATCCCTGCAATGAATGGGGCTGGACTAGATGACCTCTGAGGGACATTACAATAAATGGGGTTGGACTAGATTACACCTGGGGGTCCCTTCAATGAACGGGGTTGGACTAGATGGCCACTGGACGACCCTGCAATGAATGAGGATGGACTAGATTACCTCTGGGGGTCCCTGCAATGAACGGGGCTGGGTTAGATGACCTCTGGGGATCCCTTCACCAAATAAAGTTGGAGTAGATGACCTCTGGTGGCTCCTGCAATGAATGGGGCTGGACTAGATGACCTCTGGGGGACCCTTCACCAATTAGGGTTGGACTAGATGACCTCTGGGGGTCCCTGCAATGAATGGAGCTCAACTACATGGCCTCTGGGGGCTCCTGCAATTAATTGGGCTGGACTTGATGACCTCTGGGGGACCCTGCAAGGAATGAGGGTGGACTAGATTACCCCTGGGGGTGCCTTTACCGAATGGGTCTGGACTAGATGACCTCTAGGGTCCTTGTACCGAATGGGTCCGGACTAGATGACCTCTAGGGTCCTTGTACCGAATGGGTCCGGACTAGATGACCTCTAGGGTCCTTGTACCGAATGGGTCTGGACTAGATGACCTCTAGGGTCCTTGTACCGAATGGGTCCGGACTAGATGACCTCTAGGGTCCTTGTACCGAATGGGTCTGGACTAGATGACCTCTAGGGTCCTTGCACCAAATGGGTCTGGACTAGATGACCTCTAGGGTCCTTGCACCAAATGGGTCTGGACTAGATGACCTCTAGGGTCCTTGTACCAAATGGGTCTGGACTAGATGACCTCTAGGGTCCTTGTACCGAATGGGTCTGGACTAGATGACCTCTAGGGTCCTTGTACCGAATGGGTCCGGACTAGATGACCTCTAGGGTCCTTGTACCGAATGGGTCCGGACTAGATGACCTCTAGGGTCCTTGTACCGAATGGGTCTGGACTAGATGACCTCTAGGGTCCTTGTACCGAATGGGTCTGGACTAGATGACCTCTAGGGTCCTTGTACCGAATGGGTCTGGACTAGATGACCTCTAGGGTCCTTGTACCGAATGGGTCTGGACTAGATGACCTCTAGGGTCCTTGCACCGAATGGGTCTGGACTAGATGACCTCTAGGGTCCTTGTACCGAATGGGTCTGGACTAGATGACCTCTAGGGTCCTTGTACCGAATGGGTCCGGACTAGATGACCTCTAGGGTCCTTGTACCGAATGGGTCTGGACTAGATGACCTCAAGGGTCCTTGTACCGAATGGGTCTGGACTAGATGACCTCTAGGGTCCTTGTACCGAATGGGTCTGGACTAGATGACCTCTAGGGTCCTTGTACCGAATGGGTCCGGACTAGATGACCTCAAGGGTCCTTGTACCGAATGGGTCTGGACTAGATGACCTCTAGGGTCCTTGTACCGAATGGGTCTGGACTAGATGACCTCAAGGGTCCTTGTACCGAATGGGTCTGGACTAGATGACCTCAAGGGTCCTTGTACCGAATGGGTCTGGACTAGATGACCTCAAGGGTCCTTGTACCGAATGGGTCTGGACTAGATGACCTCTAGGGTCCTTGTACCGAATGGGTCTGGACTAGATGACCTCTAGGGTCCTTGTACCGAATGGGTCCGGACTAGATGACCTCAAGGGTCCTTGTACCGAATGGGTCTGGACTAGATGACCTCTAGGGTCCTTGTACCGAATGGGTCTGGACTAGATGACCTCAAGGGTCCTTGTACCGAATGGGTCTGGACTAGATGACCTCAAGGGTCCTTGTACCGAATGGGTCTGGACTAGATGACCTCAAGGGTCCTTGTACCGAATGGGTCTGGACTAGATGACCTCAAGGGTCCTTGTACCGAATGGGTCTGGACTAGATGACCTCAAGGGTCCTTGTACCGAATGGGTCTGGACTAGATGACCTCAAGGGTCCTTGTACCGAATGGGTCTGGACTAGATGACCTCTAGGGTCCTTGTACCGAATGGGTCTGGACTAGATGACCTCTAGGGTCCTTGTACCGAATGGGTCCGGACTAGATGACCTCAAGGGTCCTTGTACCGAATGGGTCTGGACTAGATGACCTCAAGGGTCCTTGTACCGAATGGGTCTGGACTAGATGACCTCAAGGGTCCTTGTACCGAATGGGTCTGGACTAGATGACCTCTAGGGTCCTTGTACCGAATGGGTCTGGACTAGATGACCTCAAGGGTCCTTGTACCGAATGGGTCTGGACTAGATGACCTCTAGGGTCCTTGTACCGAATGGGTCTGGACTAGATGACCTCTAGGGTCCTTGTACCGAATGGGTCTGGACTAGATGACCTCTAGGGTCCTTGTACCGAATGGGTCTGGACTAGATGACCTCAAGGGTCCTTGTACCGAATGGGTCCGGACTAGATGACCTCAAGGGTCCTTGTACCGAATGGGTCTGGACTAGATGACCTCAAGGGTCCTTGTACCGAATGGGTCTGGACTAGATGACCTCTAGGGTCCTTGTACCGAATGGGTCTGGACTAGATGACCTCTAGGGTCCTTGTACCGAATGGGTCCGGACTAGATGACCTCTAGGGTCCTTGTACCGAATGGGTCCGGACTAGATGACCTCTAGGGTCCTTGTACCGAATGGGTCTGGACTAGATGACCTCTAGGGTCCTTGTACCGAATGGGTCTGGACTAGATGACCTCTAGGGTCCTTGTACCGAATGGGTCTGGACTAGATGATCTCTGGAGGACCCTGCAATGAATGAGGTTGGACTAGATGTGACCCCTGAGGGAGTTTACAATGAATGGGGTTGGCCTAGATGACCTCTGGGGGTCTCGTTCTAGTTTCCTGAGCATTGCTATGAATCATGCCACATCACAAAATGCCTGAAGTCTTGCCAAGAGAACATAAAGTCACCTTAAGTCAGGCTTTCCAGATGTGGTGATAAGAAAGGCAGAGAGGGGCCTTTGGGAAACATGATCTTCCCAGCATCAGGGATCCCTCAAGAAGAATCCAGATAGGGCCTTGTGCTCCCAAGGCTTGCCCCTGGCAAAAAAAAGTGTTCTGCGACCACTTACTTCGCGTAATGGACGAGCCGCCCCTGGTCATCCTGCACCTACTTAGCTCATTTCGGGGAAATAAAACACCGTGATGCATGTTTGCCGGGCTTTTCCCCTCTCCCACTTTTGCAAGAGTTTGCAGAGCGTTTAAGAGGATTATATTTAATTGTGTTCGTAGCAGAACTATCTCCAAATCTGCTTAGAACGGGGAAGGTGAAGCCAAAAGATGACGAATTGGGAAAGATGCCCCGTTTTTCGTTGGCTGGGATGAGGAGAGAATGGGATTTGGCCCAGCCCTGTCCAAATAATGTTGCGGAAAATTTGGTGCAAGTCTTCGTAGAAGCCATCCTTTGTATGGTCTTACCAAGGCCTCCTTCGTGTTGGCACCGCTCCTTATTCCAACATGCATGTCGGGATTTGGGACTCAAGGCTGAATCGACACTTTTTTTTTGTCGTGTCAGGAACGACTTGAGAAACTGCAAGTCGCTTCTGGTGTGAGATAATTGGCAGTCTGC